TTTATGTTGTTAATATGTACATTCAATTTTGTAGGTAGACCAGTGCAGGAAACATCTGGGACAGGAACCCAAAGATCAAAAATTCCACTAAATTGGACTCTGTCTGAATTAAATAACTTTGTCTGCCAGTGCTACCCAAATGTGAGTTTGAACTTGATAGGTTTCCATTTGGCAAGAGCAGGCAAAGGACGCAAGATCCAAAAAGTTCATGTAAATTCTATGAGGGATTTAAAAAAAGCAGTTGGCAAAAGCAGACTCTATATTGTCCCACGAGCTGAAGTTTTGCAGGTATGACTTTGCAAAACAAAGGCACAATATTCAAATGAAAGAGCCATTTCTTTATGATATGACAAGTACAATTGGCTTTTAATTTAACCTTAATGTAAATTTAAAAGTTTAAATTTTAGTTCACATTCTTTGCTTTCATTTAAATCTTACTGTGATGTTTCTGTACAGCGCACAAGTTTATGTTAGGTGACAGTACAAATAAATTTACAGTGCAGTGAGCCAATGTATTCTTTGTTATTGTTACACACTGAGTTTGAGAGTTTTTGTCTACTCCCAGGTAATGACACCAGCCCCTGCCATGTACCAGAACTCATACCAACTATCCTACTCTGCTGCAGCACTGGATGAAACCTCATTGGATGCAGAGACTGCAGAATCTGTAAATTTGGATGTGAGTGAAGTTAGTTTAGATGTTGTGGAGAAGTATTTAAGATGTGTCAGTTGTAACCACTAATGATTTGTGACTTGTGGTTTTACTTTATTCCCTTTAGGAATGGCGAGCAGTACGTTCCCAGCAAGACGAAGAATATAATGCTTCCTTGTTGGCAGACCAAGAAAAGGTCATTAAAAAAAAATCCTTCTATGCTTGCCAAGTTTAATTTGAGGAAAAACAAAAATGAGTCTTAAAAATATTTTGGTATTTACAGGACAGGAGGAGGCACTGCTATGAGGTTTTGGAAGAAAGGCGAACAAAGGTTGGTGCTGCCACTACATTTTTTATTTTTTTTTTTAAGTTTTTCTAGTGTGAAAGTTTTTTTTTAGGCCATTGAGGAAAGACGTCAGCGAATGGCTATCCGTGTGGAACCCCTAGATGGAGAGGTTTTGAAATTCAAATATCC